ATGGGGAGGTGGCCGCGGTGGCCGTGGGGGTGGCTGGGGGGTGATGGGGAGGTGGCCGCGGTGGCCGTGGGGGTGGCTGGGGGGTGATGGGGAGGTGGCCGCGGTGGCCGCGGTGGCAGGGCTCTGCCGGGGGCTGTCACCGTGTCTCTGTCCCCAGGACTTCGTGGCGGGGCGGCTGCTGATCACAGCCGAGCACGAGCCGTGTGACAGCCCCCGGCCCCTGGGCTGTCCCCGCAGCCTCACCGTCACCACCAGCCGCACCACGGCCCGGCTGCACGGCACAGGTGACACGCCTGGACAGGACAGGGACAGGGACCGGGACCGGCATCATCCCCATAGCCTGGTGGTGGTGTGGCAGCCGCCACAGTGCCTGTCCCCAGTGTCCCTGTGGCAGCGGGTCTCATCCCTGTGCCCATCCCCCTGTCCCCACGGCGGCGGGTGACATCCCAGTGCCCGTTCCCAAATCTCCGTGGCAGCGGGAGCCACTCCAGCCCCTGTCCCACGGCGATGGGCCCCATGCCGGTGGCCGCCCCATGGAGCCACTGCTGTCGCCCTCAGGGGAGGTGACAGTGGCCGGGCGGGAGGTGACGCTGCCCTTCTCCGGTGCCGAGCTGAGCATCCGCCGCGCGTCCTCGGCCTTCCTGCACCTGCAGCTGCCCGACGCCCACCTGCTCTGGGGCCTGGGGACCCCCGACATCTTCGTCACCCTCCAGCCCGCCATGGCCGGCACGGTGAGTGGGACCGCGGGGACCCGCGGGGTGCGCCAGCGGGACGGAGCCGCGGGGATGAGGCTGTGGGTCTGGAGCCGCGGGGATGAGGCTGTGGGGCTGGAACCGCTGGGATGAGGCTGTGGGTCTGGAACCGCCGGGATGAGGCTGTGGGTCTGGAGCCGCTGGGATGAGGCTGTGGGTCTGGAACCGCTGGGATGAGGCTGTGGGGCTGGAGCCGCTGGGATCAGGCTGTGGGGCTGGAGCCGCGGGGATGAGGCTGTGGGGCTGGAGCCGCTGGGATCAGGCTGTGGGGCTGGAACCGCGGGGATCAGGCTGTGCCGGGCTCTGCCCTGCCCCGGGATGGAGCCGCTGGGATGAGGCTGTGGGTCTGGAGCCGCTGGGATGAGGCTGTGGAGCTGGAGCCGCTGGGATCAGGCTGTGGGTCTGGAGCCGCAGGGATCAGGCTGTGCCGGGCTCTGCCCTGCTCCGGCAGGTGCGGGGACTCTGCGGGACCTTCAACGGGGACCAGCGCGACGAGTTCACGACGCCGGAGGGGGACGTGGAGCCGGGAGTCGCCGCCTTCGCCAACGCCTTCCGGGCGGCCGGAGCCTGCCCGGCGCTGGGCCCCGGCATTCCCGACCCCTGCGACGGCTTTCCCGGGAGCCGGGAGCGCGCCGAGGCCGCCTGCGCCGTGCTCATGGGCCCGGCCTTCCAGGTGAGGCCCGCGCGGGCGAGGGCGGGGACGGGTGACACGGCGGTGACAATGTCCCTGCGGCACAGCCGTGTCACCGCGTGGTGGATCCCGAGCCGTTCCTGGAGCTGTGCCGCTGGGACGTGTGCTCCTGCCGGGAGCGGGAGCGGGATCGGGAGCGCTGCCTGTGCCCGGCGCTGCGCGCCTACGGCCGGGAATGCGCCCGGGAGGGGACGGAGCTGGAGTGGAGGAACCGGAGCCTCTGCGGTGGGATGGGATCCATGGGATAACGGGATAACGGGACAACGGCATGGGATGGGATGGGATGGGATGGGATGGGATAATGGGATAACAGGATAATGGGATAATGGCATGGATGGGAGTGGGAATGGGAATGGGAATGGGATGGGGTGGGATGGGATGGGATGGGAAGGAATCAATGGGATGAGATGGGATAATGGGATAACGGGATAATGGGATAATGTCATGGATGGGAGTGGGAATGGGAATGGGGATGGGAATGGGGTGGGATAATGGGATGGGATCAATGGCATGGGAATGTGAGGGGATGGGAATGGAAATGGAAATGGGAATGGGGATGGGATGGGATGGGATGGAATCAATGGGATGAGATGGGATAATGGGATAATGGGATGGATGGGAATGGGAATGGGAATGGGAAAGGGAATGGGGTGGGAATGGGAATGGGAATGGGAATGGGAATGGGAATGGGAATGGGAATGGGAATGGGAATGGGAATGGGGTGGGAATGGGAATGGGGTGGGACAGGATGGGGTGTGTTTAGTATCAGGATGGGATGGGGATGGGACAGGACCCGATGGGACGGGATGGGGATGGGGTGCGGTGACGTCTGCCCCCCGGTGACGCCCCCCCCATGTCCCCCCAGAGGAGCCGTGTCCCGGGGGGCAGCAGTACCGGGACTGCGGGGGTCCCTGCGGCCGTTCCTGCTCGGAGCCCCCCGGAGCCAGTGACTGTCCCCCCCCGGACACCCTCTGCGTCCCCGGCTGTCGCTGCCCCCCGGGGCTGCTGCTGGCCCAGGGGGGCCAGTGTGTCCCCCCTGCCGCCTGCCCGTGTCCCCGCGGCGCCCGCCTGTACCCCCCCGGCGCCCGCATCCGCCGCGGCTGCCAGGCCTGGTGGGTCCCGGGGCAGTCTGGGGGTGGCGGGGAGGTTCGGGGTGCTGGAGGGTCACCCGCAGGACGGGGGACCCCTGACACGTGATGAAACCCCCTCCAGCCCGGAGTGACGCCCCGCGGGGCGGAGGGGCTTTCGTCCCCTGTCCCACCGTGGGGACAGCGACGGGGCCGCGGCAAACCGGGGAGTGGGGGGGACCCCGTGGGGGGCCCTCGGTGGCATGTGGGCTCCGGGGGGATGGGGGTGCGGAGACCCCGTTGTGGGGGGCATGAGGGGTGGGCGTGGGGAGATGGGGACTGCGGCATGGGGGTCTCAGCGGAATGTGGGGGCTGGGGCTTGGGGGGCACCGATGAGGGGGCTCGGAAGGTTGGAGGCTGCTGGAGATGGGATGCATGTTAGGTTCAAAGCCTAAGGTCTCAGACACGGCCGGGGGTCCCTGCCGCCCCCCGCAGTGTGTGCGCAGGGGGGTCGTGGCGCTGCGCCCCCGCCCCGTGTCCCCCCGGCCCGCGCTGCCCCCCGGGGCTGCTGCACGCCCCCGGCTCCTGCCTGCGCCGCTGCGACCCCGCCGAGCCCTCCGGCACCTGCGGCGGCCCCGCCGACGGCTGCGTGTGCCCCCCCGGGACCCTCTTCCTGGTGGGTGACACCCCCGGGGGGATGGGTTTGTGGGACCCCTCCCCCGAGCCCCCCTCACCGCGCTCTGGTGGCAGGGCGGGCGCTGCGTGTCACCGGACGAGTGTCCCTGTCACCACGGCGGGCGGCTGTACCCGCCCAACGCCACCATCGCCCGCGACTGCAACACCTGGTGCGACCCCCGGACACCCCCAGACCCTTGCCAGACCCTCGGAGAGGCGCTCAGCCCCGCGGTGGCACCGAGCCTGTCCCCGCAGCGTGTGCCGGGGACAGCGGTGGCACTGCGGGCGCGAGGAGTGCGCGGGGACCTGCGTGGCCACGGGGGACCCGCACTATGTCACCTTCGACGGCCGCGCCTTCACCTTCGAGGGGGACTGCGAGTACCTGCTGGCGCGCGAGGCCACCGGGCTCTTCGCTGTCACCGCCGAGAATGTCCCCTGCGGGGCCAGCGGCGTCACCTGCACCAAGTCCGTGGTGGTGGCCATGGGGAACACCGTGGTGCACATGCTGCGGGGTGAGGGGACACGGGGGACACGGGGGACACGGGGGACATGGGGAACACCGTGGTGCACATGCTGCGGGGATGGGGGGGACGCGGGGGTCCCTGGGGATGGCTGCGCTGTGGGATGGAAGTAGGACACGGGGGGACACGGGGGTCCCTGGGGAGTCCCTGGGGGTGGCCGTGCTGTGGGACAGAGCTGGCACCCCGGGGGGACACGGGGGTGGCCGTGCTGTGGGACAGAGCTGGCCCCCCCGGGGGGACACGGCTGGGGGTCCGCAGCGCCGGGGGCTGTGCGGGATCCCCGGCGCTGGCGGTGTCACCACGGCGGGGTCCCCGGTGCCGCACGGGGTCGGCGGTGCCGGTGGCACCTCGGGGGGGGTCCCGGGGGTCCGCGGTGCCAGCCCCGCCCGCCGCGGTGCCCGCAGGGACCCGCGTGTACGTGCGCGTGTCCCCGCGGCTGCGCGGCCGCCTGGCCGGGCTCTGCGGCAACTTCGACGGCGACGCCGAGAACGATTTCGGGAGCCCGGACGGGGCCCTCGAGGCGACCCCCGAGGTCTTCGGGGACTCCTGGCGCCTCAGCCCGCTCTGCCCCGAGGCCGACGGCCACCGCCCGCACCCCTGCGAGGTACGGGGACAGGGGGACAGGGGGACATGGGGGGACAGCGGTGACGCGGGGAGACGGGGGGGATTGACAGGGGTACACGGGGACTGGATGGGGACACAGGGGGGACACGGGGAGCTGGCAGGGGGACATCGGGGTTACAAAAGGACATGGGGCTGTGGTGGCCCAGGTCGGTGAAGGATCGAACCCAGGCGGGAGGAGGATGAGGAGGTGTTTGAGCCTCGGCTGAAGTCCTCCGGGGTCTCGTCGCCGGCGCTCCGGGGGTGCTGACTGACCCCTGCGAGTTTGCCTGAACCGGGACAATGGGGGGGACACGGAGTCAGCGGGGGGCCCGGCTGGGGACACACGGGGGTCTGACGGGGTGTCCCCTCCCGGACAGCCCCCAGCCCCATCTGCACAGACCATGCCGGGGGCAGTGGGGGGCACGGGAGGCTGGCGGTGGCCGCAGGGGGGTCGCGCGGGGCACACGGGGGTCTGACGGGGTCTCCCCTCCAGGACAGCCCCCAGCCCCATCTGCACAGACCATGGGGGGCACAGGAGGGCACGGGAGGCTGGCGGTGGCCGCAGGGGTGGCGGGGGGTCGCACGGGGCACACGGGGGTCTGACGGGGTCTCCCCTCCCGGACAGCCCCCAGCCCGAGCTGCACAGACCATGGGGGGCAGTGGGGGGCACGGGAGGCTGGCGGTGGCCGCAGGGGGGTCGCGCGGGGCACACGGGGGTCTGACGGGGTCTCCCCTCCAGGACAGCCCCCAGCGCTCGGCCTGGGCGCGGGCTCGCTGCGGGGTCCTGCGGCACCGGCTCTTCGCCCCCTGCCACGACCTGGTGCCCCCCCAGCGCTTCTACGAGTGGTGCCTGTTCGACGCCTGCGGGTGAGTTTGGGGGGCTCGGGGGCTCCCCAAGGCCCGGGGGGGGGGTCCCGGGCCCTGTCCCACGGCGCGTGTCCCAGGTGTGACAGCGGCGGGGACTGCGAGTGCCTGTGCACGGCCCTGGCCGCCTACGCCGAGGAGTGTGGCCGGCGGGGGAGACCCCTGCGCTGGCGGAGCCAGGGGCTGTGCCGTGAGCCCGGGGCCTGGGGGGCACGGGGGCACCGGGAGAGACTGGGGGTACCGGGGGGTACCGGGGGACTGGGGGGCACCGGG